CAGTAGCTCGCTCACACTGAGGACCTATCCACATCATCATTTACCCATAATGCTTTGTGTGTAAATAAAATGGCCCCGTCCGTGTTAAAATATATTTTTAAAAATTTACAAAACTAATCAGCCTACAGTATCTTTACAGTCTTTATTTTACAGTTAAAATATGTTTATCAAATAAAGTCTTATGTTACAACTAATCCGGGATCCCTTTAAGTGGTTTAGTTTGTTTCTTTTCTTTTTCTTTTTTTTTTAAACCACACTAAGAAATTTTTATTTGTGTTCCTCGTATGGATTGAGYCGGTGAGCTGGGTGGTCAGGAGGAAGAGGACTCCCCTCAGCTGCTGAGGACCAGGAGRGACGCCTCCTTCATGCGCACCCAGAGACGGTCCAACACACACTCCGCCAGAGACCTGCAGCGCCTGCGCGCGCACAGGTTCTCCATCAACGGGCACTTTTACAACCACAAGGTGCAATCAACAGAACACACATGTACTTTAATGTATCCCGTCGTTGATGTATCACCAGGTGCGGCGGGGCTGTGGTTTCCTTTCACTGTACTTCAGCTACCTACCACAATAGACTGCTGCGGGCTGATTTCATTAATGCGCCACATAAAACACATTCACACCCRAGGGGTCTGCATTAGCTTGATACAGCTTGTGTAAATATTGATGTTGAGCAGTTTCCAGCTGCAGATGAAGGGATTTCCTTTTTCTGTTTCAGTGTTCCTGGCCAAAATGTCCAAGGTGTTCAAATCCAGGAACACTCAGCTTGATACACACAGTGTTTCTTTACAAAAATGTACTCCATGCTTTTCTTTCTTTTTCTAGACGTCTGTGTTCACCCCAGCCTATGGTTCAGTCACTAACGTACGCGTAAACAGCTCGATGACAACGGAACAAGTCCTCAACCTGRTGCTGCACAAGTTTAGGGTGAGCAGTACTGATCTCACCTCTTAATTTCAAATAAAGTTAACTGGAAGTAATTTTCTTTTGTTGTGTTGAAGGTGGAGAATAACTCAGATGAGTTTGTACTTTATATGGTGCATGAGTCTGGTGG